ATGGGTGGGTGGGGGTGTTTTTGCTAATTTTTAAGCTTTTTTCTGGGGTATTTAGTGAAATTAATAAACTTAAGGGGTCTAAAAATAATTAAAAAATACACTAATATTTTTGGAATAACGTGCCAAACAATATTTGGGGAATATGATTGGGAATATGGGTAAAAATATTGAACCAAACGCACCCTAAATTACCTTGAAGATTACTGTAAATTTTTAGGAAAATGTGTTTAGTTAGTTGGAATAAATTGGTAGGTATGTTATATTAATATGCTTGGTTAGGAGGAATAAATTGGTGGGTATGTTATTTAAATTACTAAATTGCCCTCTTTTTAAATATTAATATAATACTATTTTTATTATTAAGTTTTGAATTTTTTTTAACCCCTAGCATTTCAGATTTAGCTAAAACACCCCAGCTTATATAAAACTTTAATTTATAACAAAATCACCCTAAGCCACTGCCAACCATTGCCGGCGATTGTCGAGAAGTTGTCGAAGTCGCTAAAAATGGCCGAGAGTCACTAGGAGGCTCCAATATGGCTTTTTCTGTGCATATTGCTAGCTGAAAACGACTACATTAGAGTAGATATGGCCGTTAACGACTAGATCCATGCCGTTATCGACCAGATCTAGGCGAGATAACGGCCATATCTTGCCCAAATATGGCCGATAACGACCAAAATAGTTCTGACCATTTCTGACGAGATCTACTCCGATATTGCCATTTTCAGCCATCAATATGGCCAGAAACAACTATATTGGAGCCTCCCATCAACTCTCGACCATTTTTAGCGACTCTAACGACTTTTCAGTGGTCGTTGGCCAACTGTCGATGGTGGTGGCTACGTGGCGGTGGTGGTCTGCAATTTGTTTGAAATATAAGGGCATTATTGTCCAAAAAATTAATTAAACAAGGGTAAAATTATAATGGTGGAATAATGTAAATTGATTTTGAAAGAAGGGCATTATTGTCTAAAATTTTTATTAGTAAGGGGCTATTTAGATCGGGGGTATAAAAAATAACGGGGGTAATCTTTTTTTATTTTGCAAGATTCTTGTGTTTGGTTTATAAATAATAAAATATTACGGTAATCTTTTATTGCAAATAGTAGTTACTATTGGTAATATGGGTGTTCAAAAGAACCGATTGGAATTGAAATTGGCGGGTACTTGGGGTTTGGTTCCAGTTCCTACCTGGAACCGGTCGTCAATGGGTACGTTTTGCTTCCAAATTTTTGGAACCGTCACTATGCGGTTCTGAAAGATGGATGCATGGAGAATCAAACATATCATACTATAACAAGTATAGTCATAGTTTAAAAAAAAATTCAATCAAATTGAAATAAGTAAAGTAGAACATGTTACCTTAAGTCCTTAGCAACCTTGGAGACTCTTAATTTCAAGAGAAATTAAGCAAAAGAGTATCCACACCAAGGGAAGAAGAAATTTGGCCAAGAGAGAGATTTAGGGTTCTTAGAGATTTTGATCTCTTCTCAAAAATTGATATATCATTTTCTTTATATAGGAATCCTTGTAAACAATTCAATAATTGTTTTGGACTTCCTTAAACAATTTCATAATTATTATGAAGTTGTTAAACTTCTTTAAATTATAACATTGGATTAACATTTAATCGCAATTAACAATTTAACTCTTAAATTGTTTACATAACAATTTAACCCTTAAATTGTTTATATGTTTACAATTACAACCCCTTATAAAATCCAATTTAATATAAAGAAAATGATTAATATAAATAACTTCATTACCCTCGGTAGGTGCTAGCCAACCTTGGATAATCAACTCTCTTTGGCTATTTCTCCATTCTCCTTAGTTTTTATGTGTGACCTCTTAGGTTCACTGTGGCCTAGCCGTGGACCCAATATCATATACTATTTTGATATATTTTGCCATAACTCTTTATGAACAAAACTCCCACTGATTATGGTAGGCATCTAGCAATGCTTCATAACCCCTAAGTCACAATAAAGATAAACTCCAACGAACCTTTTACAATCATACACATTGTATAATCAAATCCTTCCGTTATCTAATCCCAATTAAGAATGGATTCATGGTATGTCAAAATCCTTATCTTAATTTTAATTCAATACATATGGAACGTGTCACTATGAAACAACCTTTCATGTAACATTTTATATACCCCGGCTGGAGATTTCCCTTTTCCAATGTATCTTGACATTTGTCTAGGAACTTGCTATCAATCTATACCAAGTCAACGGATCCCATATTGACTATCACTTGTCCTCACACATAAACAACACATGGCCAAATCGGCTTATTAACACATGTCATGATTAGCCTCATGTTTATACACCATATGAACCATATGCATTTATGCAGAATCCAACCGTGATATCTCAGGTCTAAGGATTAATAATACCCTAGTACGATCTTATGATAAATCATTGACTACATTTTAAATGTCCATGTGATTCATCATAAATGGCTATATTCGATAAATAGTTCACTAACTGCGTATCCATGCTAATGCCCTAGTGATATAACTTTTATAATCACCCACCCTAACACCATCACATGATATTCTACGGAGGCATTCAGCATGCCTACTATGTAATATTATTGCCCAATTAATATTACCTATGTAGGGAATACTTTGATGATTTTGATCTTCTAAAGATTTGTATCATCCGGACATTTCACACGTAATACATATATATAAATGAAGCAATAAACCACATGTGAAATAAGAACACTTTCTTCTATTGATAAGATAAAATGTATATACAAAATATATACATTAACATATATATACAAAACATAATGCCTTGGAACCGATGACACGATTGGTTCCTAGGGCATACACTAACAGGTTCTGGTTCCCACAGTTAGGAACCGCAATTGGAACCGAGAACCGAGACTAATATAAAATAAAATTAAAGAGTAGGGGCAGTTAATAAAAACTTGTAGAAAAAGTAATGTGAATACATTTATATTTATATTTCATAACATTTAAAGTAAGTTGGTTTGACTTTTGAGAATCTACCTTCACAAAGTAATGGAGTTTGTAATTTTGAATTTGTAGTTTTATTTTTGTTAACAAGTGCCAAGTGGGGGGTATTTGTAAGTTTTTAAGGGTTTTTTTATTCATTTTAAAAACTTTTGGGGGGTCATGTAATTTTACAAGGTACCCGGAATCAAAATCGGAACTGTTGTTACAGGTTCCGATTCTAGGTACCCAGGAACTAGAACTGTCGGTTCCAGTTACGATTCCAAATTTCAAGGAACTGTCGATTCCGGTTTCTTCAAAAAATGTAGGGTACCCAGAACCAAACACCCCTAGTTGGTAATGTGGAGGGTAATCTTATTATCTTGTTAGAGGCTGTTATTAAAACATTACCGAGGTAATCTGGTTTTTCTACTCATTTTGCCCTTAATTAAAAATCATTTAGGATACAATTGCCCTCAAATGTCTACCAAATAACAATTACCCAACCCCCCTACATTTGAGAAATTAGTTAAAACACCCCAACCACAAAAAAGTTTAAAAGTTAACAAAATATTCCCAGCCACCCAAGACCACTGCCGGCTTCAGTCACCATAATGGTGCACAACCGGTGTGATATGGCTGGTTGTGCGCCAATAAGGCCTTTATTGACTATGGATCACAAATCTATGGCAGGAAACGGCAAGAACTAACGTTTCTATGGTCGTTTCACTTCCAAAGATATGGCCAAGAAAAGGCCAGATCTTTGGCCATGAAATAGCCATAGATCTGGCTGTTTTTCGACCATGGATTTGTGACCCATGGCCATTTTCGGCTTTTTTAGCGCACGACCGGCCATATATGGCCAATCATGCACCATTCCGTCGACTGTCGATGGTGGTCGGTGGTGGTGGCTGGTTGCCGACAGTGGCTTGGGGTGGGTGGGGTGATTTTGCTACAAATTAAAATTTTATACGATTTGGGTGTTTTAGCAAAATTTCAAATGTAGGGGGTTAAAAAGATGTCTCAAAAAATAATGATTAATATTTAAAAAGGAGGACAATTAAATAATCTATATAACCTACTGGACCTAGTCAAGGATCGGTCCTAAGCAGGCCCGAGTCTAGGCCTATTTGGGACTGGTCCTTTTGGGACTAGTCTCATTTGGGACCGGTCGCTCATTCCTAGGCCCATGAGCAATTTTAAAACCCAGAGCGGTCCTATGGGCCTACAGAATTTCTTTTTCCCCCTTTATCTTTTTTTTTTTAATTTAGGGGCGAAATGAAATTCTGTAGAGGGTTTTAATAATTTTCAGGGGTAGACTAGTAAGTTTCTAAAAGTTTAATTAATTTTAAAAAATAATAAATAAATAGTTAATTTTAACAAATAATTAAAATGAAAAAAATTAAATAATAATATGATTATGAGATGAAATTGAAAAATAGAATAATATAAATAAATAATACGAATAAATTATAAATATAAATATAAATTGAATGGAAATTTGATTAGAGATTTAGAGTAGAGAGTAAAGAGACGAAGAGAATAAGAGATTGAGTGATATGAAAAAAATGAGAGATTTGGAGGCTATTTATAGTGTAATCACACCAAATTGGTTATTTTTTTTTTTATTAATTCTCAACGACTATTTCATTTCACCAAATTGGTGTGGATAAATAGCATCACACCAAGTGAAATGAATTAATCCTTGAGAATTAATAAAAAAATAAAGAATATCCTAAAATAAATTTTTTTTTTTTAATATTTGGTGCAAGGGTTGAAGATGCAATAATAAAATGTTGTGAAAGTGGTACCGATTTGGTGTTTGTAGCTAGAGATGGTAGTCTCTGAGATAATTCACAAAAGTTACTTCTTACGGTTACAGTAACATCATGCTCATTGCTTTAAACTCAGACAGAGACCATTACACAAGAAGAAGCAAGCAAATGATATCAATCCATTCCATACATGTATGATTCATCCCTAAGTATTTCACGATATTAAACAAAAATAAGAAAAGCGTAAAACTCCATTATCAAAAATCAAAGAAACAACAACAGAAGCATAAACTAGGAAAAGTAATTAAAACCAATAAATTGTCAAAGTACAACACAAAGAGCAGGAGCTAGTCAGTATAAACGTGAACATTAATGACTATAAGGAATATAGTAATTAAGCCAAAGTAGATAATTGTGTGAACAAGAATAGATGCACCACTGGTATGCATGTTGCCAAACTCAATAACTCTGTTTTTGCTACTCCCAGGAATCTGAAACAAAAGCCCAGGACTCAACAGCACAAACAGCACCACCGCTATTAAAACAGGCCCCCAATCTGCCATTGTTGCTTTGCCTGCCTAAGTGAAGAAAATGGGTTTGAAGATTTACTGATTTAGAAGAATATGAGGAAGTGAAAGATCTGGGAAAGGCAAGTGCAGTGTGAAATAAAATATAAAACAGATAGAGATGGAGAAAAAACACAAATGGACAACTTCATTAAAAACGATGCTACAAATAATAACTACATGGGTGAACGTGTCAGCACCTCTAAGCAGTTTTCGACGGTTGTGATGTTCTTGGGATAAGATATCTGCGTCGAAGTTTTATATGGGCCTGCAAATGGTTTTGTTTGCTGTCTCGTTTGTGATTGGTAACTCCCGAAAATTACAACTCATCAAGGCTCAATCCTTAAGCTATGGATCTCTTTTTTCACTGTCTTTGATTACAGGGGTTTTAGCGATATTTTAAATGAAGAAATTAACGATAATTATATTCATTTAAGATTAATTTATCATTTTAATTAATTATTCTATAATATTTCAGAAATTGATAAAATTTATCAAATTCATCCAGCGAAGTTAAATTTTGGTCCACTGATAACGCCATTCTCTATAACATTATCAAATTAGGGCGGACGACATGCATCACATGCTGTAAATATAATTTGATACCCACCAGCTTTGAACATAACAAATAGCCATTTTTCATCAAATTCCGTCTGTTAAATGACAACGCTGTTTGAAAATACTGAAATACCCTTAGAAGTTTGAGATTATTTTTATCTTCACTTTCTTCGTCTCTTTATAGTCTGTTTTCTTCCATCTCTTTATTTACCCATTTTCTTCTCTCTTGGATTTGGCCAGATTTCAAATAGTAAAGGGGTAAATTTTATTTAATTAAAATTGAATTTCCTAAATCCTCTTTCACAAGATCTCCTTGCAAAATCAATCCCACAACCACATCACAGTCCAGTCCAATCCCCACCTTCCTCCACCGTTGCAAACTTCTCAAAACCACTAACAAACACATCTTCATAACCTTGAACAAATTTTTCAGAACCGAATATCACCATCCTTTAGCAGCCAATAATTCCCTCTTTCACCTAGCAAACCCACCCACCTCGTTCACCTTTCTCTCATGCCCAACAAACCCACCTCACCCTTCCATCATGTCCAGCAACCTACCAGCCCAACAACCCCAAAAAGACATCATCCGCACCCAATTCGCCGCGCAAAACAATCCATAGCTCCATAATCCTCAGCAAACAATCAAAATAGTCGCAATCAATTCTTTTGGGCTTTTTTTTTCAGAAAAAATAAAAAAGAAAAGAGAAGGGGTGGGAAGATCTTTGTGCCCGAGATTAACAGAGGAGAAAACAACGGTGGCTGATTGAGTGAGGAGAGAGTGAATTAATATGAAGCGAATAAAGTGGGGTGGAGGTAGTGGTAGGGTGGGAGGCGTTGGTGGGACTTGAGACGGAAGAGGATTGGTGGGATTTGAGGCGTTATAAGTAGTGTTAGGGAAGGGGAGAATGGAACGATAGCTGTGGATTAGGGACGGAGAAAGAGGGAATTATTGGCTGCTAAATGTTGGCGATATTCGGTTCTGAAAAATTTGTTCAAGGTTATGAAGATGTGTTTGTTAGTGGTTTTGAGAAGTTTGCAACGGTGGAGGAAGGTGGGGATTGGACTAGACTCTGAAGAAAACACGACGAAAAAGAGACGACGAAGTGAAGATAAAAAACTATCTCAAACTTCTAAGGGTGTTTCAGTCTTTTCGAGCAGTGTTGTCATTTAACAGGCAGAAACTTTAACCGAATGCGATGGAAAGTGGCTCTTTGTCATTTCCAAACCTTCTGGTATCAAATTTTCTTTGAGGTAAACTATGGGTAGATGAATGCTATTCGCCCTATCAAATTAATATAATGGCCGGGAATTAATAACGTAAATGCCACATGAATGACTGATTTATATTAGTAGATAATGTTATTTAAAAAAAAAAACACCAATTTGCTAATTATTTATATAATGGTTACCAACAATAATTTTATCAAACTGGTACCTTAACAGTGCACTGGAGACATGTGACGAAGAAATTGCTTGTATTCATAGATCACATAACACATAAAAGCTGAAAATTAAATCGATCTATTTTACGGTTTACAACGCAAACATATAATGGCCAATCAACCCAAAATCAATTACAGTATGAAACATACAGGAATAAAAAATTGCTTACCCCCACAAAAAAAACAATCCAACCATTATGTCGAAAATCAAACCAATTAAGAATTAATTAGCCCATGTAAATGTGAATGCCAATCGCCAAAAGAAGAATGGTGTAGATGCCAAAGAAGAGGATAGTATGAACGAGGACGGCCTTGCCATTGGTTTTGAAACTGCCGAATTCTATGTGGCGTTGGTTGCCGGGTAACTGGAAGAGGAGGCCAGGAGAGAGGAGAATAAACAGCAGCATTCCAAGTATAATGGGTGCCCAATCGACCATTGTTGAAACTGTCTCTGAGCACTCTACTCAACAATGGCCATGGGATATTAATAGAACATTAGTTTATACTAAAAATAACATAAAGACACAATCAAATTGTTTTGTAAGGAGAGTTCTTATATTTATATACAAGTTGGCAGCGTGTTAAGTGGCGTAAGGGACCCAACAGTTCAGCAGGTCTAATACTTCTATAAAGTAATAGTATTCAATTCTCCTTCGGAAACTTGAATTAGATTTAAGATGTGTTTATCGGAAGACGAATTTGAGATTGATTAAAAAGATTTTCAAACACGGTTTAGTCTGACAATTATAAATGAATGTTTTGATAGATTTTATAAAATCTCAGTATAAGTATTTGACAAAGAAAAGCATCGAAGGATGACATATAAGGCCATATTTTGGGAGGTTTAACGCAGCAAGGATGGCATCTAAATGCTAAAAACTAGTTTGAGCGTCTCTACTTTTACTAGAGTTTCACATAAACTATACACAATCATTCCTTGTGGAGACACAGATACTGGCATGCTAGACCAAAATTCTCACGCAAAGTCCCTTATTCTTTCTTCTAAAGAGCATCCATTTCAGTTCAAGTAACTTGGACTGTATTATTAATTAAATTAACTAAAACATTACAGTCCATGTCATTTGTTAGATTTATAGTTAGGTGTTTAGCAGCATGTAGAATTGAAGATTGAGAAGACAAATAAAAAACGAAAAAAACTCAGTTGTGCGTCTATTTAAAGTTGGAACGGCTACCTTCTCCTTAGCTTACTAGTTCAACTTAAATAAAAGAGACCATCCTCATGTAATTGTTTATTTATGGTATTATTTCTAGCCACAAAATTTTGATTAAAATTATACATAATTTTATGAGCGATACTATATTTACAACTCAATCTTATAAGTTTTTTCTCACAATACCGACATGTAGAGGTGGACATTTGGGACTGGGGTCCTAGGACCGATCCTAAGAGGCCTGGTCCCAAAACGGAACCAAGTCTAAGGAGGAGGGCTCGGACCCTCCACTGGGCCCAAATTTTTTTTTATTTTTTCAATTTAGTCCACTACAAAATTACATAAAACCTCCTATAAAATTTAAAATAAACATAAATTACAAGGGTTAAAATNTCAAAAACGTCGACAGCAGGGTTCGAACCTGCGCGGGCGAAGCCCAACAGATTTCAAGTCTGTCTCCTTAACCACTCGGACATATCGACATTGGTGCTACTTTTGCTTATTGTAAAATACAAATCCAATAACATTCACACTGATCTCTTCCAAAAATTAATTTCATATTCCTATCTAAGGCTGTGCAAAACCGGGTACCCACTCCGATTTTGACCAAAAACCGGGTACCCAAATATTCGGGTACCTGCAAAAATATACCCGCTAATCCAACCGGTTTTACGGGTACTCGAAAATTCGGGCCACAAACCGAGTATCTGATTTTCTTACCCGAATATTCCAGTTGTCGTAACTCCTAACCAGCAGTTCTTCTCAAATTCATTGACTTCTTTAACCAACATCCCCTCTCAAATTCTCAAACTCTCTTTCTTTTTCTATTAGCTCTATTCTCCTTTAATCCCTTCAGTCAACCGATGCACAAACTCTAAAAAAAAAACTTGCTCAACTACTCAAGAACTTGCTCAGCTACTTAAGGCAACAACTCATTTTCAGTTCTGCAGTTTTAATTGCAACTTCAGCTAATCAAAACTGGAAACAACTCATTTTCAGTTCTGCAGTTTTAGTTGCAACTGCAGCCAATCAATACTGGCAACAACTCATGTTTAGTTCTACAGTTTGAGTGCGACTGTGTGCAGGTCCTGCAGGACTTGAGTACTAGAAGAGACGAACTGACGAAGAGTGGAAGACTGAGATTGGAAGTTTATGCAGTGGAGAGTGACGGGTTTTAGTTTTAGGGCATTTGAAATTTTCAGATTTGGGGCTTTTGGGTTTTAGTCTGACATTTTTTTTTTTTTTTTAAACTGGGTACCCGGTTTCCTAAAATTAAATAACCGATACCCAAATTGAAAATTCGGGTATCTTATAAAAGCTACCCGAAACTGATCCAAGTTTTCGGGTACCCGAAAATCCGAGTTCGGCTCGATTCGGTTATCGGTTTTTTTTACACAGCCCTATTCCTATCAAATAAAAATAAATGAATCAACATTGATCCAATTTTAAGAATAGTATTATTGAGTTAAATATATGAGCATTGAAATCCAATCAATTTGAGGTCCAAACCTATCCAAGGTTACCTTAATAATATTGGTACCCAAAGATTTAGAAACAATAAACTGGTACTTCTCGTTATGTGCTGTTAGTGATTTCATTTACTATAGTGAAAAGATTAGAATGCCCTTGAAAGTTTGATATTTTTGTTTTTATAATTTAAAATTTTTAGAAAACCCCTTAAGTTTGCTAATTTAACTAAACACCCCAATATTGAATTTTTGTAAATTGATAAACTCCCCTACCACCTGCAGTGCAATTCCGGCTACCACCGTCGGAATCTAGCCGGGAAATTGCGTTACGACATAGATCGGTCGGATCTGTGTCGTACCGCGTCGATATGGCTTTTCCGACAATCCACCATGGATCTGGCCTGAAAAGGCCAGATTTTTGTTAGATTTGGCCGCCGACAGTCGCCAAACTCCATCTTTGGCCGCGACGGCCAAAGATGTGG